AAGCATAACAAAATGTGACCTGATTTCAATGAAAATAATTCACTTATGTAAAAGTACATATGACGTTTTGTGAAAAATCTGTACGTGGTGGACAAAAATGTAGAACATGCAAAAATTTCAAGACAATAAAACCATCGGAGGCCTGTGTAATCTATTGAGGAGATATTTAAAATACCATTTTGATGAACAATCCGAATCATCCATACCGTCTGCCTGATGAATAGCAAATTTTAATTGTTCAAGGTTCTTATATGATCAGGTCTGTAAAAACGTCCTGTCGTAGTTTACTACATACTGTTTTTTATTAAAACTATTGCTACAACTTTTTGTACAACATTATCAAAGGTTCACGCATGATTATAATAAATGAAGTTAAATTAATTAATATTAACCCTCGCCAGTTTACCTACAAATATTATCAAAAAGGTAGTAAGCCTACCAAACATAACTCGAAACTTTTAACAAATCACAGAAATTTAAACCACTGGTTTCATTCTACAGCAGAAATCTAAACAACTGGTTTAATTCTGCAGCAGAAATTTGAATCACTGGTTTCATTCTACAGCAGAAATCTAAACAACTGGTTTAATTCTGCAGCAGAAATTTGAACCACTGGTTTCATTCTACAGCAGAATTCTAAACAACTGGTTTAATTCTGCAGCAGAAATCTAAACCACTGGTTTCATTCTGCAGCAGAAATTCAAACCACTGGTTTCATTCTACAGCAGAAATTTAAATCACTGGTTTCATTCTACAGAAGAAATTTAAACCACTGGTTCCATTCTGCAGCAGAAATTTAAACCACTGTTTTGATTCTACAGCAGAAATCTAAACCACTGGTTTCATTCTACAGCAGAAATTTAAACCACTGGTTTCATTCTACAGCAGAAATTTAAACCGTTGTTTTCATTCTACAACAGAAATCTAAACCATTGGTTTCATTCTACAGTAGAAATCCAAACTATTGGTTTCATTCTACAGCAGAAATTTAAACCAGTGGTTTCATTCTATAGTAGAAATTTAAACTGCTATTTTCATTCTAAAGGGGAAATTTAAACCAATGTGTTCATTCTACAGTACAAATCTAAACCACTAGTTTCATTCTACAGCAAAAATTTAAACTAGTGGTTTCATTCTACAGCAAAATATAAACCGTTGTTTCCATTCTACAGCAGAAATTTAAACCACTGGTTTCATTCTACAGCAGAAATCCAAACCACTGGTTTCATTCTACAGCAGAAATCCAAATCACTGGTTTCATTTTACAGCAGAAATTTAAACCACTGGTTTCATTCAACAGCAGAAATTTAAACTAGTGGTTTCACTCTACAGCAAAATATAAACCGTTGTTTCCATTCTACAGCAGAAATTTAAACTGCTATTTTCATTTTACAGGAAAAATTTAAACCAATGGGTTCATTCTACAGTAGAAATCTAAACCAATGGTTTCATTCTACAGCAGAAATTTAAACCACTGGTTTCATTCTACAGCAGAAATCTAAATCACTGGGATCATTCTACAGGAGAAATCTAAACCGTTGTTTTCATTCTACAGCAGAAATTTAAAACGTTGTTTTCATTCTACAGCAGAAGTTTAAACCAGTGGTTTCATTCTATAGTAGAAATTTAAACTGCTATTTTCATTCTAAAGGGGAAATTTAAACCAATGGGTTCATTCTACAGTAGAAATCTAAACCACTAGTTTCATTCTACAGCAGAAATTTAAAGCGCTGTTTTCATTCTACGGCAGAAATCTAAACCACTGGTTTCATTCTACCACAGAAATCTTAACAACTGGTTTTATTCTACAGTAGAAATTTAAACCAGTGGTTTGATACTACAGCAGAAATCTAAACCGTTGTTTTCATTCTACAGCAGAAATTTAAACCGTTGTTTCATTCTACAGCAGAAATCTAAACCGTTGTTTTCATTCTACAGCAGAAATTTAAACCACTGGTTTCATTCTACAGCAGAAATCCAAATCACTGGTTTCATTCTACAGCAGAAATTTAAACCACTGGTTTCATTCTACAGCAGAAATTTAAACCACTGGTTTCATTCTACAGCAGAAATTTAAACCACTAGTTTTATTCTACAGCAGAAATTTAAACTAGTGGTTTCATTCTACAGCAAAATATAAACCGTTGTTTCCATTCTACAGCAGAAATTTAAACTGCTATTTTCATTTTAAAGGAAAAATTTAAACCATTGGGTTCATTCTACAGTACACATCTAAACCAATGGTTTCATTCTACAGCAGAAATTTAAACCACTGGTTTCATTCTACAGTAGAAATTTAAACTAGTGGTTTCATTCTACAGGAGAAATCTAAACCGTTGTTTTCATTCTACAGCAGAAATTTAAAACGTTGTTTTCATTCTACGGCAGAAGTTTAAACCACTGGTTTCATTCTATAGCAGAAATTTAAACCACCGGTTTCATTCTACAGCAGAAATTTAAACCACTGGTTTCATTCTACAGCAGAAATCCAAACCACTGGTTTCATTCTAGAGCAGAAATCTATACCACTGGTTTCATTCTACAGCAGAAATCTAAACCAGTGGTCTCATTCTACAGCAGAAATTTAAACTAGTGGTTTCATTCTACAGCAAAATCTAAACCGTTGTTTACATTCTACAGCAGAAATTTAAACTGCTATTTTCATTCTAAAGGGGAAATTTAAACCAATGGGTTCATTCTACAGTAGAAACCTAAACCACTAGTTTCATTCTACAGCAGAAATTTAAAGCGCTGTTTTCATTCTACGGCAGAAATCTAAACCACTGGTTTCATTCTACCACAGAAATCTTAACAACTGGTTTCATTATACAGAATAAATTTAAACCAATGGGTTCATTTTACAGGAGAAATCTAAACCACTGGTTTAATTGTGCAACAGAAATCTAAACCACTGGTTTAATTCTACAGAAAGAATCTTAACCATTCTGTTAGCAAGAATGTTAACTAGAACTACCTGTTTTTTTTTCTCTGATTTCATATTCACAACAATAAAAAGTTTGCTTGCTTGTTTTTAACCATATTTTGCCATCAAGTATATGGTATGAACGTCTTATCACATAGCTCTGCTCAGTTCTACGTGACGTGCCACTTAGCGACATGTCACTACACTATAAGCTGAATTGCACTTCTAACATGACACTTTGATTTCACTTACCAAGCTTTTGGTTTCAATAGTAGAAAAGTAAAAACTCATATTTTGATATACGTTGAAATTATATGGCGTTCAAAATATAATTGAAAGAAAAGCCTGCATTTCCAGTGACTTCGTATGATATGACTTTCAACAAAAAGCAATGGCTTTCGAAACATTATCATTTCTGGTTTTGCTGGCAAAACTACAAAAACACAACAAATACTTTATCGTAAAAAGATGTCCAATAACGGTTTTTTTGTAGCTTTGGAGGTTTCCTTCGTTTTGTTGTTAATTATTTACTGTTTTCATTTGGTATATGTGTTTCATTTTGATTTATTTATATCTATACTTTTAATAAAACAATATTTATACATAAGAAAGATGTGTTTCTTGTTTTTTTGTATGCTTATAAGTCTTTTTTTAGTCTACAAAATACTAATTTTGACTAATCTTGCTCTCAAGTTCACAACAGTGTATAAAATCAAGTAATAAAATAATATATATATATATATAGCTATATAGCCTGGTTAATTGATTTCTTGACTTTTATAGGTGGTGGTACGGTACTTTGAACCTACTCTTGTCACATGTCTTGCGGAGCCCTGGTTTCGAGAGTTGGGTTTTGCTATATTTTATGGGAGCATTGTTCTCAAAGTATACAGGTACGATGCCAACTTCCTGTAGTGTAAAAACAAAACAATAATTTAAAAGAGATAAAGAACGTTCATTGGATATTTTGTTAGACGTAGATTTTATAGTTACGAGGTTTATATAAACGATGAATTACTGCGTTGTACTTATAAATAAAATGAACTCTCTTTTTTTTTCTTCTGTTGCTAAATTTGTATTACTTTAAAATTATAAACTCAAACTACAGCTTGATGATTTTTACTTTTACCAAATTCTTGCTCAGGGACAATTTACTTTTCATAACATGGTACATTTTGGTTAAAAGTATTAAGTAATGAATTGAAACTGACAGAAAGGGAACGATTTTTATTTTATTTATCAAAGGATCTTAGCCGAATTCCAGACTAGAAAAGCCCATCGTGTCTGTGTCAGAGACAAAGATTTGCTGAAGTACCTGCTTGGAATTGCACTGATCGTCATGTGTTACATGGCTGCTTGGACTGCAGTTGTTATGGACAACGTCACTAGAGGGCACGACATTATTGACCAGCAGGAGACCTTAGACGGGCTTAAATATTTCACCTGTAGAGCTCTTTGGTGGGACTATGTTACAGAAGGAGGTGAGTAAGCTAAGTCTGTTAGAAAAATATGAATGATAAGAAATAGAGGGTGTTGTAAAAGGTCTAAGGCTTAAAAAGATTTTGGACAAATGACTAAGAACTGGTACAAGATTCAAAAGTGTTTTTATCAAATGTTCTTAACAAGCAATCTATGATTCAACGGTAGAAAATATGACTATTTTGTTTGGTGGTGGGATATCCCATCAGATCCGAAAGCCTAAGTGTGAGTTACATGGCTTTCTAGGGCATGATCTAAGGATTATTCTGTTTTATTTGATCAAAGTAGTTGTTAATGTGTATATATCCTACCAAAGTGGATCACCTGCACACTATGGTCATGCTATCTCTCTATTATTTTAGCTCTACTCTAATTCTTGTAATATTGTGTTATGTATTGCAGTTTCAAATAGCCTGAGTTAAATTGTAATTTGGATTTAGTAGTTAAATGAATGCCTATATATATCCAATTTATCCGACTTATGTATCCAATATGTATCCGACTTACAAACAATACAAAGTCCTCTTTCTAAT